TAGGAACAGAAGGCTACAGAATAATGGCAAATAGATTTTACTAATAGACAAATCAAAAGAAAGCAGTTCTCCAACCTGACATCAGTTGTCTGTTTATGCTGCCGAAATAAGTCATATATTCAAACCATAACTCAAATATTGCACTACACATCTCAAAGATTTTCTTGTAAAACAACCACCCTAGTAAAAAATTAATTTATACACAATTTCAATTCAACCACTTTACAGAACGTAACTTGATCTTGTAAGTATGAATTCAAATTTTAAGCATATTATTCCAGAATGTGATATCTACTTCTTCTGAATACACAATACTGTAAGATGTTGAAGTCTAAAAAAATAATTCTTTTTTAATCTTAGTAACTTTGACATCTACCCAGCGTAATGCTTTCTCTTTCACACCTTGCAGTCTTGTACAAAACTGCTACAAAATATCAGCAAAAAGAGCTGATAATTTTAACTCCTCTTACACCCTATAAATGCAACTAATATTTCAGTCAATTAAACCTAATCTTCTTAGCCTATGAAATGATTAACAGTTATGTAACTAACAATGTCTAATTTTAGTTTCTACGTTTCTATTTTTGGTGAAGATCTGGGAGAACGGCATACAGCTGAGAAACATTTTGCATCTATTCTTTTAGGAAGAAAGCACTGAAAATAAGATTCAACAAATATTCTATTCCTCAGTAAGCAGAGAACTAAGCACACTGAAAAGAGCCCTATTAATAGCTCCAATTTTGATTAGAGCAGCAAAGACCTAATTAAACAAAGAAATCACCAATTTTTTTTTAGATGGATCACAACAGAAGCTAAATGAAACTTAATTTTGCACTGCTAGGTAGAACTGAGAATATTAAGTCTCAGAACTATTTTGTTTGGAAAATAGAGGAGATGCTGAGTGAACAGCTTGAAAGAATGGAAAGCCACTTTGTTACGAACACAAAGTGAACAAACAGACTTTTTTACTGAAGCAATCAAACACGAAAATGTTTCACCAATGTGTATTTTTCAGACACATATTACCTTACTATCTCAGGACAATGTATTAAAGTCACTTTTACCCTCTCAAAACAGCCTCTTCACTCAAGCTATTTAACCTAGTAGCCTCTAAGACAGAAAATCCCAAACACACAATAACAATGACCTTTTACCGTTGTGTATAAGAAGATCATTCACAGGGGCGTGAACTTTATTTCAGACTGAGACTTTCGTGAAACATTAAAAATCTTTTCTTTAAAATTCAACTATGCCAAGACCCTTTACTGGTCTTCACTTACTTAATTTTGTCTGGAATACTACATAACTTCTCAATGTGAAAGCAAGGAAGTGAAACCAAAATCTATTCCATTGTTTCTTCTGTGATTTAGTGTTTACTGATTTCGTTTAAACTAATTGATAGCTTAATTATTTCTTATGCATAACCAAAAAAAAAAAAATCCAAAAACGTAGAAGAATTTACTTATAGTTGTACTGTACATATTTACAAGATGACCAGATTTTCTGAAAACTATCAGCTGGATCATTACAGAAGAATCTGGGAAAAAAAAACCCAAACCTAAATACGTCACAGTAATACAAAGAAGAGAGCTATAAAATAACTGTCAAAATTCTCACCAGTTACATTCACTGGATTTTCTTAGTCCTTATCCATTATTATTTCATGTTTTCAGGTTAAAAGACCACCGGTAATAAACTTACAGAACACTAGCAGTCTTATTGCAACAGATATCAAAAATAAAGAACAAGGATTTGAAGCACAAATAATCTCTGGACTAGAAGTACATTTGGTTATTGTGGATTGTCTTCAAAGACAACTGGTAAGAGCTACAGTGAATATCCAGAGCAAGAGTCCTTCTACAGTCCAGTACTATCAAACCCTAGCAGAACAGCAAGGCTCTTCAAATAACAATGTCGAATTCATTAAACATAACCAATGACTAGGCTCGTACAGTCTCCAAAGAAGAAGGGGGGGCGGGGAGGGAGGAAAAGTAAGAAAAGCTCCAAAGCAATCTACCATTTAAGAAGCAGACAGAGCAAAATCAAAATCTGAGGTTTGATTTTCAGAAGTAAAATTACTTAATCTTTGGCATGTGTGCTACTTTTTCATTCACTGGTTACCAATTATAATTACAGCAACCTGTGGTTTACAGGAAGAAATCCATATAACATTTTTCAAGAAGTGTAATCAATTTAATTTCATTTCTTAATGGCTCCTTTCACTTGGCTTCCTTCTAAGGTCTCACATGCACCTACATCATCAGGACACACACAAGAACATCCCAACATATGAGAACTCTTTATGTAAAGCCACTCATAAAAAAAAAAAAAATCTCATTTGTGGCATGAGTCCAGCTTCTTTCCTAAGATGTGGTAGTTAATTTCCATTCCTGAGCTCTTCCAACGCCTCTGCAATCTCAGTTCTAAGGATACTGCTTTTCTTTTGAACAACCCTAAAACTGTATTTCCTCTGATTTTCTAAGGTCCTTAAAATAGAGGGAACCCTGCCTGCCTAAATTTCATGGTTCCAGTCATAGAATTTAAAAAGAAGTAACCTCACTCAGGTTGTCTTTTTTTCTAGTCATCAATTCTGTGACTTCACTGCTCTGTAGCTTCATGGAGTTGGGGGCCTCAGGAACCACACGAGCCCACAGTGACTTTCTGCCTTATTCTTAAAATACTGTTTTCCAGATGAGAAGCTCTATCAAAGGCACTACTCAATTATCACAGCCAGGATTAAAAAAGGTCAGAAAACAGTATGCTGCTAACACACTTCCCTGCCCTTAATAGTGCAACTTTCTCTAAGAAGGGGGCAGGATAAAACTTCAGAAAGTGCTAAGATATTGCCCCAGTCCACAGGGGTGAAAAGAAGAAATTACAGAAACAAGATGGTATGGCCAGTTGATCAGCAGACCAACAGCAAAGCTCAGAACAGGACTTCTAGCCCTTGGACAGTCCCACGCTTGCATTATTCACTAAGCTGTACCAGTTCCAAATGCTGGCCTGCAATACTATTTAAGTAAACAGTAAATAATATTTACTATTTAAGCCACTAGCCATCACATTTGAGAAGTCATGGCGGTCTGGTGAGGTTCCTGTCAACTGGAAAAGGGGAAACATAACCCCTATTTTCAAAAAGGGAAAGAAGGAAGACCCAGGGAACTACAGGCCAGTCAGTCTCACCTCTGTGCCTGGCAAGATCAGGGAGCAGATCCTCCTGGAAACTCTGCTGAGGCACATAGAAAACAAGGAGGTATCCTGGTCTCCAAATTGAAGACATGGATTCGACAAATGGACCGCTTGGTGTATAAAGAACTGGCTGGACGGTTGCACTCAAAGAGTTGCGGTCAACGGCTCGATGTCCAAGGGGAGAGCCGTGACGAGAGGTGTTCCTCAGGGGGCCGCACTGGGACCTGTACTGTTCAACATCTTTGTCGTGGACATGGACAGTGGGGTCAAGTGCACCCTCAGCAAGTTTGCCGATGATACCAAGCTGTTTGGCGAGGTAGACACGCTGGAGGGGAGGGATGCCACCCAGAGGGACCTGGACAGGCTGGAGAGGTGGGCCCAAGCCAACCTCAGGCAGTTCAACAAGGCCAAGTGCAAGGTCCTACACCTGGGTCGGGGCAATCCCAAGCACAAATACAGGCTCGGCGGGGAATGGCTGGAGAGCTGCTGAATAATTATCTCCTCAAAGAATTCTAGAACTATTATCAAAACAAAAGTTGGAGATTTTTTTCCCCTGGTTATAAAGTGGATGAACCCTTATCTCAGCTGAAATAAGATGAATAGGAGAACACAAACATGGCTTATTTCCTCTCTCCAACACTTACCTTCCAGGCTACCCTCTACCATGGTAAAACTAGCACCTAACTTAGTGCTGTTGCTGTCACAGATACTTTACACATGTTCTGTCCTCTCCTGCCAAATCCTGCAGCAAATCCTTGCACCGATTCTCACAGACATTGTGTCAGGCTCCAATTATGCCTCCATTAACCACTGTATGTCATCTCACAGAATTCACAGAATTCACAGAATTCACAGAATTCACAGAATTCACAGAATTGTTAGGGTTGGAAGGGACCTCTGGAGATCATCTAGTCCAACCCTCCTGCCAGAGCAGGGTCACCTACAGCACGTTACACAGGACAGCGTCCAGGCGGGTTTTGAATGTCTCCAGAGTGGGAGACTCCACCACCTCTCTGGGCAGCCTGTTCCAGTGCTCCACTACCCTCAAAGTAAAGAAGTTCCTTCTCATGTTAAGATGGAACTTCCTATGTTCAAGTTTATGCCCATTACCCCTCGTCCTATCACTGGGTGCCACTGAAAAAAGACTGCTCCCATCCCCCTGGCATCCTCCCATTAAGTATTTGTATGTATTAATAAGATCCCCCCTCAATCTTCTTTTCTCTAGACTAAAGAGACCCAAGTCCCTCAGCCTTTCCTCATAAGAAAGGTGCTCCAGTCCCCTAATCATCTTTGTTGCCCTTTGCTGGACCCTCTCCAGCAGTTCCCTGTCTTTCTTGAACTGGGGAGCCCAGAACTGGACACAGTACTCCAGATGCGGTCTCACCAGGGCAGAGTAGAGGGGGAGGATGACCTCCCTCGACCTGCTGGCCACACTCTTCTTGATGCACCCCAGGATGCCATTCGCCTTCTTGGCCGCCAATTCGCCTTCTTGGCCGCCAAGAAGGCGAATCTCAAAGTCAACAATTCCTGAAAAGTCACTCCTCCTGCCAGCCAAATGGGCTCTAAGTTCATTGTGGTTTGTAAGTACTGCCCCCATCTCCAAGTGTGCTCCATGCAACTTGCAGCACTGAGCTTGCTTGATCTTTTTGCACATGTTGGTATTAAACTATCTCAACTCCAATCGTACATTATCAGAACTTATGAAATCTAGAAAGGGCAGAGTTAAAACAACTAGAGCTGTTATAAGATCACCATTCTAAAATGTGAAAACCCTATTAGATTTTAGACGAGCAAAAAAACCAGCTACTTACTGGTTTCGGCATTTTTCTTGCTTTCTTTAGTCTCTTGTTCACTTAAGTCTTCTACAAGCTTTGTCCCCTTCTGTCAAAAAAAAAATTAAAAGTGTTTTTTTTAAATCAATCAAAACAGACTTCATGTACATCACAGCAAATAGTACAAGTTCCAAAGCAGGTGAACAAGTGCTCTAAACGTACAAAATATACTTTTCAGTAGATGACATAAAAAACGACTACGTTAGCCAGTATCAGCATCCACAGGTCTCTAAATAGTAACCTCCTTTCTAGTTTTCATAGACTATTAATCCACTAATGTTAGAATAAAGAGACAACAGTTCCCCGAGTTCTACAAATTATTTTTAAAACTTTTTATATCAGACATCCTCTAGTATTAAAAACTTTTAACATTATTTACAAGGAAGCAAAATTTGTACAAGGAACTCCAAAGCTGCAATTGAATCTGTCAACTCCAGTCACACTTAATACATCATGAAAACAAAGAAAAAACCTAACCTAATTTTAAAGCATCAAAATGGTATTTCATGTCTATAAAAGCACCTGTTTCTCCCTGTGAAGGAATGATATGGTCATTTTTCCCAAACGAAGAGAAATGCAAGTACACCGTCACAGCAAAAAAAAAGGAAGAAAATCTGCTCTGGTTAAAATAGACTTTTTTCTTCCTTTTTTGTCCCCCTTTTTTTTTTTTAACACAGAAAGGCTCTAAGTTATGTCTATGTTGTAATTAAAGTATTCACTATTATGTTCTATTCCAAAAAAGTTTTTATGCCTCGAAAAAAATATGCTTGCAATGTTTTTGGTAGATAGCATCCAGCCTCCTTTTCATTTCATTCTAACTCAGACAGAATAAGCAGCTAGTCACCTTCTCACACACTTTAAAGCAATGACTGCCATGACTCAGTCCTGCTGCTGATCTGCAAAGAGTACCAAAGATGGCATTACCTTGAAAAATATTAATTGGAATTACAGTTATATTAAGAAAAAAAGAAAGTGACATACTACACAAAATAATCTGAGATTCCAGTATTATAACTCCATGACTGCATTAGATGAATAAGATATTCAGAAGTGCTTAAAAAAATATGAGAAAACCAAAATGTTTAGACTAATTCATTTATCAAAAGCAAACTTTTGTATAAATGATTTCTCATTCATAAAGAAAAATGAAAATATAAAGTATTGTTTTACATAGTTACAAAAGAAGTTATTTTTCCTTGCCTTCTTGGCAATAAAAAATGCAGTAAATATCAGAAACATTTGCACAGCAATGTAAGGTGCACTGGCATTTCATTTTTATTTCTTCTAATCTGTAGAGATATGTTTGAAAAGAGGGACTGGAAAAACAGAGATAAAGGATGAAGCATCAATGTTGTTGACTGGTGAAGAAAAATGAATGTTAAGACTAAAGATTACAGAAAGAGACATATAATGGTTCAATGCAGATATGGAACAAATTCTGTTTAATGAAAAATCAGCCTGAAAAATGAAAACAGTATCTTTAAGTTATATTCATTATGATATAATGAATGTAACACAATTATAAAGGTGTAATATTACGTTTGCCTAGCATAAAGACAATTACATTCCAGTAGATTATTTTTTTTAATTACGGAAGATATTCTAAAGTATTGGACAGTATCAGTAAGACTACTATTCTAATATATTGTTTGATATACTCTTGAAAAATATGAATACACTTTTCTGCAATTTCCTTCCCCCCCCCTTTTTTAAAAAAAAAAAAAACAAAAAAAACCGCCTGGGAGTTGGGGAATAAAAAAGGGTGCTCACAACACTGGATTTTGATAAAATTCAACACTTCCAGTTCACAGAAAAGACTGCCCTCTCTTCTCGTCCCTTTCCCTAATGTACTCCTCAGAAAAAAAAAAAAAGAAAAAAAAAATCAAGAGTAGTAAAAAGCATAACAAGCTTGGCTTTAACATCTGCTAACAGTAAGCAGGATTCTGAGCTGTAGTAATCCCTGTGTTCACTTTTTTGACAGTAGAGGCTTATTGGTTGCAAAACCTAAGACAGACTGAAGCCCTAGAGTTAAACTCAGTTAATTAACGATGCAAAAGCTAAATTAGATTCTCATCCACCATTTTATAAGCGTGCCAAGTCAACAGTACTGAAAGGAACAGAAAGTAGCACAACTATTTTTATGTGCTTATAGTTATATTAGCATTGAAAAGAAGGGCTATGGTGAGATTACTGATAAGGAAGTCCAGTCTCCAGGAGACAACTGAGAGCATATGGCACAAGGCCGAGATCTATGTTAACAACCGATTACTTTCTGAGGTCCTTCTAAGACAGACTATGTCTATCACTTTCCAAAACGACTGTCATACCCTCATATGTTTTATCACTGCAAATTCCTCCGTAAATATGTCCCAACTTTTTGCTTTGGGTTTTTACCCCAAAATTTTGTTAAACTACTATCAACCAACCCAAAATTACTTCCTTGAAAACATATTTTAAAACCTTAAAGTAATTTTTAAAATCAGAACCAAGACTACAAAGTTTTATAGGATAATTCTATGTAATCAAATCACAATCGGTAGACATGTAATTTAAATGAGTTTACAGAATTAATATTTATTGTTCACATGCAATAAAACAAAACTATCAGCTAAAAGTAAGAATCCTCTTGTGCAAAACTCAGTAAAAATGAAGTTTCACTGTCAGCCTCACAGATCTTGAGGGCCTGATAAATTACCACAGTACACAAGCAACAGAAAAAAAAATCTATGCAAAACAAATAATAGCCAAAGTATTTATTGTTGAAGTGTTTGCTGTAATATCTTTTACTAGAGTAAAAAAAAAAATAAATCTATTATTTCTTTTAACAAAAGGAAATAAATTTAATAAGTTTAGAGCCAATTATTAACTTGTTTCTACTGCAGATCATAAAGACCTTGTGCAATGTTATACAGAAAAAAAACCCCAACTCATAGGGTCTACAACTTAAACTCAGACCATTGTTTCCATTTTATATATAATGCAAAAAACAGCCTGTGTCTGTATGTTTTCCAACTCATAATGTTATGCAATTTCAAAACTGTATATTCACACAAAAGGATTGCAACAAAGTATTACATCTATATAAAAATAAGTTCAGAATCTTAAAATTGTGCAAAAATTGAAACGAAGTAAGCAGTGAATAGAAAAATAACACCCTATCTTTCCCAATTATTGGCACCAGCTAACATTAACAAAACAAAACAAACATAAGGAAAATATTTGGCCAAAAGAAACCAAAAATCACTGCCAGGCAAAATATTGTGCATCTCTACTATTATTGCTGGAGTGGGAGTTCACTTCTACTACTTACACACCTCCAATAAATTTATATTTAGTAGATGCAACTATATCAGCTTTACTAAATTTTTGTCTTTGAAACAATTAATTACATACCCTTACTTTTATCCTAACACTCCTAATTTCACTCCTAATGTGAAATTGCATTGCAAATAGAGGGAAAAAAAAATAAAACAGCCAACTGGGACTGGGAATGATATCCCTGTTGCTTCGTGCATTCTGAAACCAGCTTGTGACCTACTAGACATAAAGGCTCATCGCTTTGGCATTTCAGTTCCCAAAGGTGCCTCTTCCAAGTCAGGATTAGCAGGGTTCTGACTTTGCAGAGTTCCTACTGCTACAACACTCCAGCCCTCGAGACCTTCACAGCATATGCAACAATCTGGACTCTGGACCAAACCACCAAAATATCGGCAGGCTCCACATCACCAACAAAAAATTATGCAGAACTTCAAGAATTCTCTTGAAATGAAGAACTGTGATTTCAATTCATTTCACTACAAGGCAGTCAGGATTTTTAAATCAGTATCATCCATATTTCCAGTTATGCCACAGAAGCCAACAAATAACACAATTGTTGAAAGATGACAAAGGAAGCTTTCTTCAGAAAATGATGGTGCATAAAATGCTTGATGCCAAAATTCTGTCAAATAATTTATGCAGCAGCTGTTTTCAAAAGAAACATTCATACACACAGCCACGGCTCTGAGGTCAGGTGAGGATGGGATAGGAGGCAGAAGGCTTGAGCAGGATGCCTGGCTGGTGGAGAACCAACCCTCAAAAGCGGAATCCCTATCTGACAGCTTAGGACCTTCTCTCAGAAGCAGTCTCTTCAGTAGTGTGATTCCTAAGCTCTAGCAAGAGGTTCATCAATTTTCCTACATACAGATGGCACGGAGCACAGAGCTTTTGCCACAGCAATACAACCAACTCATTTATTTACAGGAACTTACTTAAAATTAATACACTTTTTTGTTTCAAAGTCCTATACCATTCAATTTTTTGTGACACCTAAAAGTTTTAGATCTTTGGGGCGGCAGCAGTAGGCAACTTCGAGGCCACTGTACCTGACTAACTGGTCTCAGCTTCCTTACAAAACCGCCTCTCTGCTCCAAAGCAGCCTGTGAATGCCTGCAGGGCAATCATCTTTTACACTAACAGCTCCCTAATGACACACTTGCTGCAGTCCAATAAAGAAGTTCATTCGCCACAGACTTCGCTTCTACATACGTCTTTTTCAGACAGACAGAGAGATTGTCTACACAATTGTCTGCGATGTAAGCAGACCAAGGGGGGAACCAAAACAAGCCATCCATCTCACAAAAAGGGAGAGAAAGAAAAACAAAGAGCTAAATTCTATAACTAACACATAATAATTGAGACTTGACCAGTGCTAGATATCACACACAGAGCATTACATACCAACGTGTTTTTTTTTTTAAAGTAACGTATCTTTACCTTCTCAAAACCAGAGTTTCCCCCAATCCTCCCTTCCACAAAATAATTGAGATAGGCTTGCTGTCTCTCTGAAAAATAATTGCAATATAACCTGTACAACTGTTGTGCATTAAATGCATTTATAATTAAATATATTCTGAAGAGTGAAGTGTTTCCTCCAAACTAGAGTTCCTGAGAACTTCAGAAGTACAAATGAAAACTTGGCAGTTGCCAACAGTAGTTAAACAAAAAGCAACGCAGACCAGCCAAAGAATATCTGTGCAATACTTGCAGTTTTACCAGTTAATAAACTGGTAT